TTCGTTCCTTTTTTGGTGCTTCAAGCCATCCCTATATCCCCCTTTCATTTTGAAGAAATGATTTTTCCACTTGTATAATACCCGCGGTTGGTGCAGTCGCTCAGCTAGCTATACTTAGCGTTTAGATTTATCTTTCGCTAGCTAGACTAGCGTTTAGGTTTCACTGCACTCTACACTCGTCTTCCGTTGATGGCATGCCTCCCCTGTGCACAAACAGCGAGGTAAGCCAGTACTAAATTGCATATTGGCTTGTTAGCTTGGTTTCACGCCATAACTCTCGAAAGCATCGCTTTTACGAAAATCGCCAAATTTAAAATCAACCCGGTGTAGTGCTGAACCTTTTGGTATCGCTCTTTCGTTGTCTCGATGCGCGTGGTGGCAGAAAATTTGGTAACAGACAGACAGACAGAAAAGTTACGGACCAAGTAACCCTCGCTGCGCATGCGCGCCGAGGGTGTTTAGCCCTGTGCTTGCTCCACAAGTTTCTATTGGAGAACCTATTGAGTACACTCTTTTACCTTTTCTAGTTCATTGTTTGCATACATGTGTTGGTTATAATGAAAGGAGTTTGTGTTATATGCCGTGTTTCTTAGTTAAACAATCAGCAAGAGTAATCCCCAGACAGAATTAAGAATCTTAGTAGTATACTGGGTCACAGAACAAGCAGTGAAGCACATACAGTCTGTCTGGTGGCTGTCGCATGGAGTGCCAACAGCTGCAAAACTGGACCTTCACCTAGTCTCTGAGTTGGTTGTTTATGTCAGACTACAGCCATTCCGTGACAGAGTCAGCCGTCTGTGTGCTCTTGCCAAATCAAGCCATTAGCTTTAAGCATGTATTACAACGTGATAATAATTAATTCGTATTTTTGGGTGCTTGGTCCCTATTTTTTCACATTAAATGCTCAAGGGCGATTACTTTACACACCGTTTGCCTCCATTATTTTTCTAATGCCCCATGGTCTATGTATATTCATTTTCAGTTTCAATGTTGAGACACATCAATTGAGGACTTAGCTCCATATTGTACCTGCATTGGATTCCACAGTAGAGGGCAGAGTGCTGGTAGTGGGGGCAAAATGAGGTAGTTCTAGGCAGAAAGCATCACTCCATGGACTCTCTGCCATGAAATGTGTCACTGCCTTTACCTGTGACATCACACAGCAATAATTCATACATGTCTGTTCAAAGATTATCACACAAAGCGAAGAAGCATCCAAAATATATATCACGAGTACGTTGACGTTTTCTACCGGGAATTTTTGTGCAAGGTGGTCAAAATTGCTGCAAGTTATTTTACTGACTAAAATGAAATCTATGATTGTCTGAATTGTATAAACATCAGATAGAGCCGGTTAAATGTTATAGAGTGGACTCTCCAAAGATGTGCTGTATTTGCCCTGGTATAGCTATTACCTGTATGTAGAGACATGGTCTGCAGTTGCCCAGTGCCACTCTGAGTCCACTAATGGTAGCTGTAGGTTCAGTCTGCCGGGAAATTAAATCACGTTAAATGCATGTTGGAATGTTATAACACTGGTAGAGAACCAGCCAAATTGCTTACCGTTTAGGAAGTAAGGCCTAGCATATTTTGTTAGTGGAATTTCATTGATGCAAGGAATTGGCTATAATACAGAAGTGAATTTATTGATCAGTATACTTCGTTGATTTGAGTTAAACTATGTAAAAAGACGATCTTGAAGTGCAGGTTCCCATTATAATGCCATACAAGTAGTCATCATTAATACAATGTATTTGTGTTCCACGCATGTGTATACTCTAGTTATCAAGCAGGCTGCGCGACATTAAGGAGTCTCAAAAGGTTCTGTATAGTTCTCACTGGTTGAATTTCATGTATTGGAGTGGACCAGTTGTATTGTCACGTGCTACCCTCAGCTGATAATAGGCCACCTCAGCCTCAACCTCCCCCCATGCCACGGCAATGTCCAGTGTAACAGTAGAAGTCTTGGACTCTGCGATCGGTGTGATCAGCTCGGCAGTCACACCCACCACCTGAGCTGGTGGTAGGGCCTCTGCAGAGAAGGTCTGTTTGCGCTGGGAAGGGATTAACACAGCTAGTGAGAGGTCTCCTGGATGGGATTTTAGCTGGGGAGAGAGATAAATGAACCATCAGTTTTAGCGGTAATACTGTGTTTAATGTGTCTGTTTGCATGGGGAGAGAGAGAGAGCACTATTAGTTTTGTTTGCATCAGAGAAAGGTGGTAGACTAAACTGTTAGCTAAGAAACAAGTTGGTATATTTTCCTGTATTGAGGCAATGATGCAGGGTTGCAAAATGCTTATACAAACACTCTACAGACTCCTCCAAAACCAAGAGGGCATACGTAACTTACTGTTATCTGATGTTTGAAGTTTTTCTCATCATACTTGACCCTCTGAGTGTGATGGTAGGCCAGTCCACTGCTTGCCTGCAGGCAAAAGCACACACATTTTTTTTTCGCTAAGATATACAAAACATTAAGTGATTTTAGTGGAAATCTATGGTGATAAAAAGCTGTGCTTTCAAATCTTGTCATCACTAGCACTTGATTTCCTCCCTTTTTGTACTCACATTTGTAAAGTAGACTGTAGAGGACAGAGTCTCATAAGTGTTGTCAGGGGCAATGAGATCAACTAGGACCTCGAATGACCCGACAGCTCTCTGGACGTTTGTGTCGTCTGGCATGCTCCAGTCCAGGTTGTAGGTGAAGTTGCCTGTCTTGTCGTCCCACTCCTGACCCCACTGCAGGTCCAGCGGAACTGGCGTCGTGTCCAAGCCTGAGATCAATAATTATACCAGTAGTTCCAGAGTTCCTAATGCATCAGCTTAGAGCGCTACGAGTGCTTCTTAAGGTTCTCCTCTACTGTATTGGCTGCCTCTTATTTAGTTTTTCTTTGAAGAACGCTAAGGAATTACAGATGCTGGAGCCAAAGTTAGTGTGTTAATGGGATAAAATTCACAGAACCACGGAAAGTTCTGCATGCTTGTGGCATGCTAGTGAACAACATATCTTGGCTCACTAGAGATATGGACTTTGTGAACATCTGGTGGATAGGTTGGACATATACTACGATCCAAGGACACTGCCTCGATCTGGTGAAATAACAAGACAGAGTTGAGAGGAATAAGAGATAAACTTGTAGGGAGAGTGTTAGGTTATACCGTAACAGTGTAGTGGCAGTCACTGACTGGTCCATCTCCCACAGCTCCAGCTGAAATGTTCCATCTTAAGTCGTCACCAGTAATACTCCTCTGTATGCAATACAAACCACTGTGTTAACCTACAGCACTTGCGTTCTACGACTAGTATACATCGCCAGTAATTTTGCAAGTTAGCATCACTTATTTGGATCGCTTACATGCACCTTATAACCTCTTCAATCTATGTACTCTAAAACTTATCGAATCACTAATTTGGATACTTTTCCTAGCCCTGACCGTACAGCTATTTCTGTCCTCATAAGCACACCCCTGAAATCTTTGTAAGTTTGACTGAATCATCCAAGGCCTGGATAGGCTCTACCTCTGACTTTATGTGTGTAGCTACCTTTCAACTCTCTTGGTGAGATTTGTTGGCCTGCAGTACGGCTGCTCATCTGGTTTCTCCAACTGGAATCTTGCCTCGTAGTGATCCAGGAGCTCAAAGCCTTGAGAAGTAGAACAAATAAATAAAACTGGACTGATAAATTGACTGCACACGAAATGAATATCCACACATCTATCCAATAGCAAAGGATGATCAATGTTTCGGACCAAAGGTGGTTCTACCATACATACATGTTGGCAACCTTACTGATAACCTACACTAATCATGGCACAACCCACAACGCTGGTGCAAATGTGGACAAATTATATATTACACTAATTGTACTGCGCACTAAAGATGAGGACACACACAAACAAGAACATGACTCAATTTAAAGCAGAAGTTGAGGGATATCCCTTCAATCCAACGTGTCGGAACAGAAATCAAAAGAGTTTTTCTCGCACCTTTTTCTCGTCTCTTCCAGTGTACGATGACGTTAGCATGTTTCCAGTATCCGGTCATGTTGACCTTTTCTTTTATAAAGTTGACATTCTTTGGGTGGGCTGCACAAGTAGGCAGAGACTCTGCATTGCAAAGATGGACAATTAATGTGAGTGAAAAAGATTTTTTAGCTTATGTCGTAACATAAAATTTACACCAATATGTGTAATTCAGTCACAAAGCACAATATTTTTCAGGGGAAAATTGTGATCCATACACAATGATATAATACCTCCATAAACCTCGACACTGAGGGAAGTGTGTGGGCTGTAGCTGGTGGGAGCCAGTCCAAACTTGTTGATAGCTCCAAGTTGAATCCTTACCTCCTCACACGCATATGCCGTGAGATTGAGTATCTCTTCAAAACTTGTCTGAATTTGGAAGAAATGGTGCACATCAGTCACTACTAAGAATCTCTCCTTAACATGGAAGCCCATAATAAATTATTGTCCAAAATGACTTAAAACTGCCATATTGAACAATATTGACTTCCATATTTACTGCAATACTTACCAACCAAACATACTTGTGTTTTCTTCCGCTAACTCTAAGAATGATTACTGTGGGGTGTCGTATTACTGCACTGGAGTTAGACTCTTGTGGGACAGCTCCACTGGGGTCCATCGTGTAGAGTCCTGCATCACTGGTGTGAGGAGAAACGTCATCTGATGCATCAGCTATTGTGAGCTCCAAGCGGCCGTTCGGAGCTGGGGGAAGAGCTGAGAGGGGGGAGAAGTGAAGAGAGAAAATTTTACTCCAGGTGTAAATCTAATTTGCTGTAAATTTATTAGTTTGTGATCATAGTATCACTGGTATGAGCTCATAGCTGCAGATTCAATACCTATATTCGAGCTTGCTCAGCCAAGCAAGGCATAAATAGCTAATTCTTAATGCAGCATCTCCCCAGGTGACATTTCACATGCATCTAAGAGTACCGGCATTAGGAGCTATGGAATAGAAATACGGATAATGTGAAGAATTTGGCCTCCAAATCACCCGTGGAAAGAAATTGTTTACATAGCATGCTGTGATAGTGCTTATGCCAAATGTGGCTGCAGCTTTTTTCCTCTTCTTCTATTCTGGCTATGTCTTCTTCAGGTACGAGGACAAGGACTGATAAGACTGCACATACCATTAGGATCTGTGCCTTCTTCATCTATAGCTTGCAGCTCTTGCTTTACCTCGCAGCCAGTGTCACAAGCATCTTTTCTCTAATAAGAAGAGTTGCATGCAGGATTAAGAGGAAATTATGAAATTATGTACACTCTTTTTGTCTGAGGTTTAGTTGTGGATAAAGATTTGAGGAGTGTTAACATACACAGACTTGGCAGGCACTGGAGTCTGGGGTATCATAAGTCTCGTTCACCTGAAAATGACGATGTTCACAGTTGTCAGAAACTGGTGTGTTTTTTCTGGTGCTACTTACACATTTATTCCGACAGTGAACAAGATTAATGAGCGAACAGCTCTCCCGACACAATTCAACCTGCATTATGTAGTGAAAAAGTTATTACCCTCGGCGCGCATCCGCAGCGAGAGTTATTACCCTCGGCGCGCATGCGCAGCGAGAGTACAGTAGTTGGGTCTGTTTGTTTGTCTGTTAGTCTATATCTCACTCCTCGAACGTCTGTTCGTCCCAGAAACGATACCATCTACCCAACGGGCGACGAAGGTCAGAATTTTCGAACGGTTTTGTCTGAAACTGCATCTGCAAGCCAAACAAGATAGGCACGCGGCATGTTTTACAAAAAATAACAGTAGTATACCCTCGCTGCGCATGCGCGCGCCGAGGTAACTACTGTTTCAAGAAGGTTTCAAAGCGTTTTTCAAAGGTTTCAAATTTTCAGGGGGAAATATGCGTCGTCGCATATTGAAACTGTCGAAGTATCACTCTACACTTTCTACTCGTTTGGCTCTCAGGTGGCCTCAGTAACAGCAAGAATGTTTGTCGTAAACTGAGTCTTCTATCAAAGTGTCATGATGACGGAAATAGCATTGGGAGCAAATATTTTCAGCTCACCACAAGATTCTCTCAGGCTCGTGCAGGATGTAGCAGCTATGGAGGTAAAGCTCTCCTTGTCAGGGCTCTACAGATGCCATGCTCAGTGCCCAGTCAACTCTCTAGAGAATTAAAGCGAGAAAGTATTACAGGCAGGACTGGGAAGCCTGCACCACGCGAGGCCAGCCGTCACAACAGTACAGCGATTGCATCAGGAATAGCTGCTTGGATACATCTTTTGGATGAAAGCTGTGGGTCATGGCACTTGATTACGGACGCTCGTGGTACTGACTCTCTACAGGCCCTTTATCGCGAATAAACTGGACCAGGCCACAGTTCAGCCAGGCATCTGCCTATCTCTGTGGTGCCACAATGGATGTTTCCCTTACTTTCATCACTATACTCTCTCTCACACGCCTCTCTCAGACCCCAGACCAGATTATCATCACTCTCCTTTCGTCGCTACTTCTGATATTTTCATGTATGCTAGACATACTACAGCTAACTTTAATTTTTTGTAAAACATGCCGTGCCTATTCTTGTTTGGCTTGCAG